ACAACCGGGTAGCAGGTAAATCAATTAATTCAAAGACTGCACCTTATTGTTCCACAAAGTAAAGTTGCAACATTCTGGATTGGAATTGGGCAACTGTGAATGCCTGGAAGGAGATCACCATCAATCCTAGAACTCTCATGCAAATGTGAAAAGTTCAATAGCTACTGGACTGCAGTGGCCATACATGGGAGCAGTGAGTCAAGTGTCTGTCTTGAGCAAACAAACATCTGGGCTAATTAATTTTTAGGAGAAGACCTAGATACTCCAAGTGATGATTAAGTTTCAGTACTGACTTCAAAAAGTTCAGGATCCTACTGAATCTTTCTACAGTTTGAACAGTTTTTGGACATTGACTAGGTATCCAAATATTCCATGATGGGAACACCCTGTGAACATAACAGAGCAGAGGGGCTAGCACCTTGGTGAATACTCGAGGTACAGTGGACAGAAAAAGGGAAAGACTACAAACTAGTAGTGTTGTGTTTCCCACAGAAAAATGCTGGTATCACTGACACACTGGAAAAACTGGGACATCAAAGTAAGCATCTTTGATGTCCACAGTGACCAGAAAATCTCCTGCATAGAAGAAACAATGATCGAATAGGTGGATCCCATGCAGAATTTTTGCATAAAGAAATTGACTGCTGTCAGATCCAGAATGGGATGTATGCCCGATTTTGCTTTGGGGATTATGTAGATTAGAGTTAAAATCCCCAAATCTTTCCTTTTCTGGAACAATGGAAATTATTCTTCTGAGAGAGCAGCTATGCCAGAGCAGCAAGATGTTTTGTTAGTCATTGCAGACATGTGGCATGTTTGACAACCCCTCCCACACACACACACACTTTTGAGAAGGCTTGAAAATTTTGGGTGTCAAAGGTTTGGTATGGAATCGAACTACCGACCTACACTTAGAGGTCTGGGTGTACACAAGTGTGTCCATATGTTGAGCATATAATGACCTATTGATGAGGTCATAAAATGAGGTGAGCAGGTTTTTCACCTAATGATGGTGGCACGGTTGGCACTGATGGAGAGAGAATATTTATTTTATACACATTATGCAGTGGTGTTATAAGACACTTTTTCATGGGACTTTAATTATTGTTTTTTATTGATTTTTAGATATTAGTTTGCTGCACTACACTTTATTGTTATTCATAAGCAGTAAGTACTTTGTTGTTCTGCAGAACAACATTTTAGCCAGAGACCTGTGCATATTCACAGAAAGGAGACTCAGACAGGATATGAGGTGAACAAAATCCCATAAACACAGTGGAAGATTTAAGGGTGTCCAGACTGGTAAAACAATGTAATACACAGATATGTGTCAATAATAACCAAAATGTATTTTTAAACCTAGATGTTATGGCAGCAGGCTTAACCTCCTCAGGTACGAATTGATCTAAAAAGGATAGATTACACTCTTGCTTATGTTTAGCTAAGAAGATGTAGATGTACTCATGCAGCCCCTGCAAGGCAGCCATCAAAGTAATGATTTTATGTATAAAATCCAACATTGCCACAGAAAAATTCTCCCTGAGAGTGGAGGGAGCTTGCCTGATAGAGGTAGGGGTGACTTTGAGAAGCTTGTGGACTCAAGCAGGGGACAGTGGTCCAGGCTGTCGGTGTTAAGTTCTTGAGAAAGGACAGTGCAAGACTCCTTGGAGATGTTAGTGGATTGTAAACTGGAAAGGCCCACAGGACTGCATCCCTTGCATATGATCCACCATACTGCTAGTATGTTTGTAAAAGTGTGAAATTCTCAGCTGTCCAGCAGTGATCACCGCTGGTAATCGCTGGCCATGAGAACATAGCCATGAATACCTGCATCCAATCACACCCAGGGGCAAACTGACCATTTGGAAACTCGGGCACTGCCCGATGGCCCGAGGTCAGTAGGGGGCCCTATGAGATGCCCCTGGTACCTTTTTCATAGGCTTTTTTGAGTTTGGGCAAGGACACAGGGGCCCCATGATCCCCTATTGCCCGGGGGCCCCTTGAGTTGTCAGTCCCCCCCTGCTCACACCTGTCAAACACTGATTCCTGCTGATGCCATTTACACTGTGGCAAAACACCTGTGTGAATGTAGCCATATTCCATATTTGGGCAATTAAATTTACCCAAGAGACCCTGTCCATGTGTTTACTTTTAGTGGTGAAGTTCAAGAGATGTCGATTGGTGCAAGGAGTTGTCAGGATAAATCACGCCCATCGGCCAGCAGTGTGGGACTTTTTTGTTTTTATTTTTTAATAAAATTCTCATTAAAAAGCTGTGTGTCTTTACACTTTTTATGAATAAGTGGGGGTACTCATTCACGTGATGTGCTTGTATCTAAAGGCCACTTTATTATTAAAGGGGTCTTCCAGATTCCAATAAGCCCCCCACCCACAGCCTTCCACAACTCCTGGGCCAGGATTTTGGGGAAAAGGCTCTTTTCCTCATCAACATAGGGACAAGATGCTTTGCCAGCCCCCCCCCTTCCCCTTAGAAGCACCTTCCATTATGTTAAGGGCTTTGTTTTTTGCATGAGGTCCCCCCGTGAATCATACCTTCTTTATTTATTTAGTACAGGTACTTACATAGCGCCATCAATTTACGCAGCACTTTACATATATAATGTACATTCAAATCAGTCCCTAACCCTCGAGGAACATACAATCTAAGGTCCCTAACTCACATTCATACATATCCATACTAGGGCCAATTTAGACAGGATCCAATGAACATACCAGCATGTCTTTCAAAGACAAGGGTATGGTATATATTTTTGGGGGCACAAACAATAGCATGGAGGTTCCCCATTAAGAAAGGGAATCTCCGTCTGTTTGTTTACAAACAGAAGTAAAATGGTCAAAAGGAGTCATTTGCAAGCAATTTAAAAAAAGTTTTTTTTTTCTTTGTAAAGATCACTCTTGTTGTAGTAGGTAATAAACGTCATATACAGTAGATGTACCACTGCACAGGCAGGTTAAGGGCATCCCACAGGCATTTTGTTTAAAGGAATTTTGGATTTTAAATGTTGATCTCCAGGGCAGCACCCAGCCCCCTTGCCATTTGTTTGACAATTCCTTGCCTATTAGCCTAAAAAATGGCCATGACTGTTTTTTTTAACCAATCAGCTCCTATTGACTTCATATATGCGTAAATTGATGGCGCTATATAAGTACCTGAAATAAATAATAAATAAATAGGGTTCATTTTCAGCACCCGCACCTTAGTAGTGTTTGCTAAACCTGCCTTGAGCCAAATCCAGGTAAGTTTGGCTCATTGCTACTCCTCACTGACTCCACCATCTTAATCTATCTATCTATCTATCTATCTATCTATCTATCTATCTATCTATCTATCTATTGCTAAAGAAGTGAGCAGTACAGCAGCGCAAATGTTGGTGAATGCAAGTGCTGACAGCCATAGCTTTGCTCATTAGAAATCCAGACATATGAGGGGTGCAGCACTCAGGCCTGATAAAGAACTATTTAGCCTAAACTGTAGCCACTTCTATTTGGATTAACTGCTTTAATTATTTGGCTATTGATTTCTGTAACCCTTGTTCAAATGGAGATATACAAACATGCATATTAAAAACATATAAAAAAACCCAACATATTAAAAACAGGACTGTCAAGCAAATACTTTCTAATGAGCAGGGCATGGGGGTTTCATTCAGCTAGGAATACTCACCTGTAGGTAAAATTTGTTGTGCCATTGTTGTGAGTGCAAAGCTGCAGAGTTGGCTAATAAAGTCTTTACATCTAGACGCAGAAATTTGTCAGGATGATTGTTATTCGGCAACACAGAAAGATCCATGCTTTCAGCTCAATGTTGTAAGGAAGACTGGTAAACCGTCACACAGTTCACAGAATCCTGTGTGAATTATTCATTAGGGACACAATGATCTCACAGGTGAATGTAGCTGTTACCCATTACTTCTGAACCCATTCAGTCTATTCTGACATGCAAAACACATTAATATAAGAAGCTATTTTTTTAATTCATTTGGAGTAAATATGTAATCAACCCTTATGGGTCTATTCATAAACAAATTAGCTTTTTGAATGTCTCATCTTTTGTGCAAATGTTATAAGAAATACCCATAATGTTTGTTATATGTGTGTAATACCTCCTTTGTTGCTGTTTGCCAGGCAATGTGACTTTCTCTAACATTCAATCCTAAGAGAAAAATAGCCATAAGAACATTTGATCGTGAGAGATAATATTCACTAATGTAGAAAATATCCTAACACTATAGGCCAGTGATGGCGAACCCGTGGCACGCGTGCCACAGCCGGCACGCCGAGCCTTATCTGTGGGCACGCCAGGAGAATACCGTATTTTTCGCTCCATAAGACGCACTTTTTTTCCCCCAAAAAAGGGGGGAAAATGTCAGTGCGTCTTATGGAGCGAATATAGAGTGGCCGGTCCGGTATTTCCACCGCCGCCGTGTCAGAATACCAGGCCGGCCGCTCAGCTCTGCAGTGGGACCGTACCTGTCCCTCTATCCAGCGGCGCGCTGTCTTCCCGGCTTCTGTAGTGTGCGTGACAGCCGGGTCCCAAGTGCGCATGCGCAAGAAGCAGTGCTCTTTGTGAATGGTAAGGCGGTACCTGGGACACATGACAGATCCCAGAAGCCGCCGGACCAATCACAAAGCGCAGCGCTTCTTGCGCATGCGCACTGGGCATCCGGCTGTCCGACGAGCGCCCACACTACAGAAGCCGGGAAGACAGCGCGCGGCTGGATAAAGGAACAGGTAAGATAAAAAAAAAAACTGCGGAAGTAAGAGCGGGTACCTGTCAAATTCAGGTACCCGCTCCCCCTCCCTCCCCCTCCCCAAAGGTCAGCAGTCATCTGTACTGTCCGCAGTCTCTGGTCATCCCTGTGCTTTCCGCAGTCTCTGGTCATCTCCTGTACTGTCCGCAGTCTCTGGTCATCCCTGTACTGTCCGCAGTCTCTGGTCATCCCTGTACTGTGTCCGCAGTCTCTGGTCATCCCTGTACTGTGTCCGCAGTCTCTGGTCATCTCCTGTACTGTGTCTGCAGTCTCTGGTCATCTCCTGTACTGTGTCCGCAGTCTCTGGTCATCTCCTGTACTGTGTCCGCAGTCTCTGGTCATCCCTGTACTGTGTCCGCAGTCTCTGGTCATCCCTGTACTGTGTCCGCGGTCTCTGGTCATCCCTGTACTGTGTCTGCAGTCTCTGGTCATCCCTGTACTGTGTCTGCAGTCTCTGGTCATCCCTGTACTGTGTCTGCAGTCTCTGGTCATCCCCTGTACTATGTCTGCAGTCTCTGGTCATCCCTGTACTGTGTCTGCAGTCTCTGGTCATCCCTGTACCATGTCCGCAGTCTCTGGTCATCTCCTGTACCATGTCCGCAGTCTCTGGTCATCTCCTGTACTGTGTCCGCAGTCTCTGGTCATCCCTGTACTGTGTCCGCAGTCTCTGGTCATCTCCTGTACTGTGTCCGCAGTCTCTGGTCATCCCTGTACTGTGTCCGCAGTCTCTGGTCATCCCTGTACTGTGTCTGCAGTCTCTGGTCATCCCTGTACTGTGTCCGCAGTCTCTGGTCATCCCTGTACTGTGTCCGCAGTCTCTGGTCATCCCTGTACTGTCCGCAGTCTCTGGTCATCCCTGTACTGTTAATTAGTTTGCACTACTGTACGAGTTGTTTTTTCTAAACCAAAAGCTTCAGGTTTCATTGCAGTGTTGGCACTTTGAAAGAAATAAGTTGGTTTTGGGTTGCAGTTTGGGCACTCGGGCTCAAAAAGGTTCGCCATCACTGCTATAGGCTAAGAACATTCAGCCAGCAGGGGAAAAAAATATGAGACCTCTGCACTACATCTATGGAGATTCCTGTTTGAATGGCCAAACTCATGGGAGTTCGGCTGAATGAACCTCCAGCTGCAGTGTGAAGTGAATCACTTATCTGTAGTAACTGAGACCCTAACCAGAAAAACTAATGGGGCTTTAAGGGTACCAAACCATATATATCAATATCAATTGTACACAAAACATATGAACAAATCATAAAAAAGAATTGAACACCTTTTATTAGGTTAAAAAACCACCATTAGGTGGGGATTTTTTTCCCAACGTGTTTCATGGAACAGTGCCCGATTCTTCAGGGAAAACAAAACACAGATTCCTACAATAAAGCAAAACTAGAACCAGGAACATATAATCGATATATAGCCATACAAAAAATTAGAAAAAACAATGAAAAATTAAAAATAAAAGGCTTAACAGCAATTACCAGTTGACGATACTGATGACCTCCCAATTGGCCTGGCAAGATATATAGGACATATCAGTCGCATCTAGATGGAAAGAGGGCTTCCAGCAAACAATGAGGAATAACCGCTAGTCAAAAGGAGATATAAATCCACTTGTGAAAAGCAGAAATGTCATTCTAGAGAATTACAGAATACAATGGTCAATAATAACTCCCAAAGCTCCCAACTACACCCCTGCTCCCCATATTGGTCATTGATTAAACCCTTCAAAGGCGGGGGGAGAAGATTTTTTATAAGCAGTGAATATTCTCTAAATCTCCATATCAAAATCAGCTTAAGTAAAAATACTTTGTACAAGAGTATCTATAAGTATACATGCCCAAGATCCATCCAGGTACACACCACAATAAGTGTTTATGGCTGGCTAATAGGTGCTCCAAGATAAGGGTACCACAAGGAGCTGAAATCGTTTCCCATATATGTGGAAGGGGAGAGATGTGTCTCACCCCTATTCCCCTGGTGTAGTCCTGAAATGAATTAAACCTGCTGGGCTTAAATACCGGTAAATTGGCACCAAAATGGTGGCATTAAGGTGGTTTTTTAACCTAATAAAAGGTGTTCAATTCTTTTTTATGATTTTTTCATATATTTATCAATTTTTCAATTGATATTAATTTATATGGTTTGGTTCCCCTAAAGCCCCATTAGTTTTTCTGGTTGGGGTCTCAGATACTACATTTTCAATTAGGGGTGTGGTACCAGTAAAACCTTGTTCACAAGGACATGAAGAGAATTTCGATCTCCCACACCATGTAAATGTAATGCACTTATCTGTAGTATTAGTACCATTTCTAAATGTGACCACTTCCTCCTGGTTGTTAGGCCCTTTAGGCCTGGTATGGTTTTTAAGGTGGATCCCATAACAACAAAAAAAAAAGGAGTGGGGTTCCACCAAAATCTATAACCCATATTCGCTTAGGGTGGAGGCCAATATTATGATGTGACTGATGTTTACTATACATACTGTAGTTACATAGTTGGTAAGGTTGAATAAAGACAGCAGTCCATCTAGTTCAACCTGTGTGGGTGTTGGTGTGTGTGTTCAATAATTTCCTGTATCCCTGTATACTATGTTCATTAAGATACCCATCCAAGAGTTTCTTTAAATCTATCATTATCTCCCACTGACACCATTAATTGTGGAAGTGAGTTTCACATCCTTACCACCCTGACAGTGAAAAACCCCCTACACAGTTCAAAGTTAACCCGCTTCTCCAATTTCAGTGAGGGGCCACGTGTCTTCTTACACTCTTTGAAACTGAATGGTTTATTCTTTATGCTAAAATCACCGTTGAGGTATTTGTATATTGCTATCATATTTCCTCTCAAGCATCTCTTCTCCAGGGAGACTATGTTTAAGGTTTGTAGTCGCCCCCCGTAACTGAGCTCCTCCAGTCCCCTTATTAAATTTGTTGCCCTTCTCTGAACTCTCTCCAGTTCTAGCACATCCTTCCTGAGGATTGGTGACCATAAATGGATGGCATACTCAAGATATGGCCGAAAGAACAGTTTTATAAAGTGGCAGGAATACAGTTTTATCTCTTGAATAAATTCCCTTATTAATGCATGTAGATATACTGCTTGATTTGTTTGCTGTAGCTTGACATTGCATGCTATGATGGATTACACTGTGGGACTTTTTTTTTGTTAATTATTGGACTTAGGTGAAAAATTGTGTGTGTGTTCATTTTAAATATCAATTTATTATTTTTACTATTACTATTTACTAATAACTTTCTCCTGTTTGATTGATTAGGAAGGGGTACTATGTACCCCTTACTCATTCACTTAGGGGGAGGGGGCCTGATATCAGGGGCCCCATCAATTTTGGAGGGGGCTTCCAGATTTTGATAAGCTCCCTGCAGATCCCCACAAACACTGGGCCAGGGGTTAGAGGGTCTGCGGGCATGAAGCTTATTGGAATTTAGAAGCCCTCTTTAGCAAGAAGGAGGCCCTTGATAACAGACAATTCTTTTAATTAACAAAAAAAAGTCCCAAAATGCAAATCCACCACCAATTACATCGTCCAGCCATGTAGATTAACATCAGTCACGATGCCTGCCATCACTGACCTGCGAACATGTTGTCAGAATTATTCTGTGTTCACAGAATTAAACTGTCAGGCCTGAACTTATCATGTTACATGAGCATGCTGGAAGCCATTTTGTTCTTTATATTCTATTTTCATGGTTTCTGAACAAAGATTCTAACAGCAGACATTTCAGTTTCTTACTGCATACTTTCCCAGGTTATACATTTTGGGGGGTATGGTAGTACCAAACAGCTACAAGATAAGGACTGAACATGGTAGAAATTTGCAAGATTAATTGACAAGTCTGTCTGGGATTTACCAAAATACAAAGCACTATTCACGAGTTTTGTTTCCATGAAAATAGTTCATATTAAAATTAACATTGCATATGGTGTTATTATTATTATTATTCGACAGGAATATTTTAACCAAAAATGTAAATTGTATTAATATTAGTATTGCATGAAGTGAATATTTGCCTAATTAAGTAATTTGGGTTTTATATTACTATATTCAATCTCTCTCTCTCTCTCTATATATATATATATATATGTATATACTATATATATATATATATATATATATATATATTATATATATATATATATATATAAAATAATAATTGGGTTTAACAATTACTACATATTGGTACATAGTGTGGATATTATGTTTTCAACATTATAAATAATTATTTTGAGTTCATTATATTACGATATTTGTATGCTATGGAAGAATTTAGATAATGAAGAAATCTCAGTAAAAATGACCTCAACGAATGTCTGTAAGATGTATAGGTAGAATTTTTTTTTCTTTCTCCAGAATCACTTAGGTAATACATTATTTTAAGTGACACTGGTCCCAGTTTGTCTAACCAGTTCTGTCAAAAGAGCATCAACTTCTAAAATGTACAGTTTTTTTAAAAGGTAAGGGTTAAATGTTAACTCTTGACATGGCACAGGAGGTGTTAGGAAAAATCCAAAATTATTCCTAATCCTATACATCCCCCTTCAGGCAATTAGGATCATTGTTTATTTAAAATGTCATAAAAATATTTACAAACATAAATGAAAGTAATTAGAAATCACACACAAACCCCCCTCCCTCAATCACATAAACAAAACTCTCCCTCAATTCCTTTCCCTTCTTCTAAACAAGTTTTCATCCTGTTCTTTCCCTTCACCGCTTCCCTTTCACCATTCCGGTCTGAAAAATAAAGAAAAACAAATCAAAATCATGCACAATCACATCTATCCTTATAGTACTATCCCTCCCACCTCCCCCACAACCCACAAAAACCAAAAGGTTTTTACCACCCTCCTCCCTTCAAACACAGCAAGCCCAATTCAAAAACCTCCCAATCCTACTCATAGCAACCATTTTACCACCATCAAACCAGTTAAACCTCCCACCTCCCACTATTATAAAAAAACAGACATCATCACAAAATATTTTAGCCGCCCACCACCCTTCATCAAAGAAACAAAACCTCCCTCCTCCCCATTTAGCCAAAAAGGCCCCAAAAAACCACAATTCCCCAACCACCACCACACTTCCACTTAATATACATATTCCCTCCCCTTCATTATATATGCATCCCATCACCCACTCCATTCCCTCCACTTACTTAATTTCCAAATCTTCTGTGCCTCCTCCAAACCAAAAGTTTTACAATCGCAATATGCGTACAGGTAAAGCCTTCCACGGATCATGGACACACACTCCCTCACACTCAACTCTTCCTTCCTAAAAATTAATATATTCCGTACATCCCATAAACTCTCTTTCACGCAATTTACCAACATCCATAGCACTCGTTCCTCCACTTTTCCCACATTACACAACCCAAACTTCACAATCTCGACCGACATTCTACCCACCCCAGACAAACCCTCCACCATTTTCAACAAAGACTTCCACACTTCCTTTGCGTACCCACACTCCCAAAACACATGCTCCACATTCTCAACACATCTACACCCTTCCCTCGGACATATCTCACTATCAACCATCCTTCTTCTCCTCTGAAATTCTCTCGTCGGCATACATCTATGAACCACCATCCACGCCACATCCTTCTGCCTATTAACAAGTTCCTTACAACTCACATTCTTCCATACCTTCCTACTTTGCGTTTCAGTCAATCCCCCTATCCACTCCAACTCCTCTCTCTCTTCCAACACTTTCATA